AGACGGACATGAGACTGATAAGTATTAGGTGTAATAATTGTCATCAATTCAAATCAATCAAAATACTAAAATATGCCGAATTTATCATTATTATGTTATCATTTCATGAGAAATTCTGATTGATTTTGTAATACTCGAGCTTGAAATCTATTTCAAACATTTTATTCGGCTATTCGTGAAAAAAGCGGAGAACATTTTTCGATATTCAATTCCAATCGTTGTATTTGGTATCCAAGCGACCGGTGGCCATAGTTCTGAATTAGTCGGCAGTTAAATCGACTTGAGCTTAAAAGCTTTAGTCACGACTCACGATATCACGAATCGAGCGGAGTTTGCACGTTATTTGTGAAACACTCTGTTCTGTTCTGCGCATTTCAGATTTAGAAATAGATATCTAACAGGTATTTATTTGTGTGTTCATTATGCTAGTGCATATTTATCCTAGCGTTTGAAGCGCTTAATCATATTTACTGAGCTAATTCCAAATCCAGACACTAAATTATAACACTGAAATCCCAGTAATAGAAGTGTCAGCGAGCGCACAGGATGTACAAATAAACCGGTAATGTAAGCGAGCTGAGCGGGAATAGGAAACACGAAATAAGTTTATCCGTGGGCGCGGCCGCACGTCGCTGAGGTAAGATTTATTGCCGGGAGCCATTTTAAATTCTGTGACGCGGCGTTTCTACGTCCGCGCCGTTTCGTGTTAGTTCGCTATTTCAATAACTGTACAACGTGAAGGAAGGTCTGACGGCGTCGCGTGTTCGCACTCCGCGCTACGACTCTGCTACGTCCGAGCTACGTTTGAGCTACGCCTCACTTAACTAGCGGCCGTGTACTCGCTATGTTACATTAACGCTACATTGATAAATGTGCTACCTGCTAACCATACAAACTGTATTTAAGTTCATTTTTAGTTCCCAGCTATTGTGTACGATTATTACATTAGAACATAATAATAGTAGTCGTATTTGGAAAATTCTTTAGTAGAAATACTTGTACCTGCAGCGGGAATTTCACTTAATTCCAGATAGGAACCGTGGCTTTATTTCTGATTTACAATACATAAAACATTAGCAACACTCGCTGGCTGGAGAAAAGAAGCAATAAATGTTCTCGTTCAATACCTTTAGCTTTTCAAATGGCCATCGAGCTTCTTAAGCTGAGCGTCATTACGGGAAGAAATTCCACTTAGTTTTCATTCTATCGACTACTTTAATATCGATTAAAGCTCGGGAGCGGAGATTCGATAAGGGCGCCGGTGTTCAGCGCGCAATGGAGACTGCACAGAACAAAGAGCTCGCTGCCTGCAGTCACGGACCTCGTTGAATTTTTATTTTCACTTTAAGCGTTGCTGTTGCAGCTTCATTGCTACTTATCAAGCTATACCTCACGCTGCAAGCTTTATGCTGCATGCTGCTAGCGTTCCAAATAAATTAAAATATATCTCTAAGGTTATACAACGCTGGATAATGACGCTTGCATGTTTAGCGGCTATTCAGGAGTTAAAACGTGCATTTTATTGTTAACGCTCGCCGCTAAATACTCACAATTGATACTTTTGAAATAGGAATTTTGGTTGAAGACAGATTTTTTTTTATTATTTTACCCTGTTCCAAAAATATTTAACCTATTATGTGTACAAGAAAAAGACAACAAAAAATGTACTCTACTATACCGATATTTTTATTTTTTTCACAAACCCCTGTAACCAATAATTACATAACCTCGATGTCGCACACAAACAAATTAATACAAGATAAAGCGAAACCATAATAGCGTATCAATATAATATTACCATTAAACAATAATAAATAACTTTGAATGGTACACGTGCCTGTAATTTGAAACCAGACATTATTACACGAACGCCCCACAATATCTCGAGTTTCATAACAAGAATATGTCAAAATTCCACCTCACACGTACCGTGTACCTGGAAATAGGGAGTCGCAATATACAGATCATTTCGATAAGGAAATTGTTCAACAATACAATGAATTAATCAACTAAACAACACATCAACCAAACAGAGTGTGACGGCATGCTTTTATGTCCTGTATATTCCCTTAAAAAAACCTTAAAAGAGCTGTCTATTTTCATGTTTTAATGGCTTTTAACAATTAGCTTAACTGAAATTAAAAAAAAAAGAACTTCTCGTAAAGTTTTTAAAAGTCAAATACATCATCATATATCATTGTGTTAGGTAGTGGTGTAAGGAAGGCTGTGGCGCTACACAAGACAATGCCTCCGCCCGCACCGCCGCCCCCACCCGCCAGCCGCGCTTCGCCGCACAAAAGAACATCATCGCTGTCATTCCCATTTTCTTGGTGCCCCGCAAACTGTAACTTTGTGTGGCCGCGAAAATAGCGAGATTCGCGAAATTTAAATTAGCCTCATTTAAGAAAAATAGTGAAGGAGGAAACAGTAGGAAGTTATATGTTTTTGTGTACACCATTTAAAATTATTAGCGTAGTAAAGTTTTAATGTTTTCTTGACAATTTTTTACGCTTATAACACTTGAATTTTATTATCATAATTTCGTTTACATTATACCGGTTTATATCACAGATTAGGACGGAACACGACTTAAAAAACGACAATTAAACATATGTTTTGTAATTAAGGATTAATTTAATAACAAATAATGAGAATTGTCGCTAGTTTTGTGGCCCAAGGGAGCAACTGTACTCGTACATTTTCCCCTTGTCTTCAGTGTAATAGGCGGGCAAAGGCTTCGTTCTTATTTCCGGTGCAGAGCGTACGACCTGCGCCCGCCGGAAACGAACGGAGTGTGTCATGACACTCTAATAACGATGCTTTTGTACACTCGAAATTTTTTTGAAATGAAAAACTTTCCAAAAAGTACAAGATGGTTATATTTCAACAAGGCAACGATTGCTACTATTAATTACTTTTTTAAAATTTTGTTTTAATTATACTAACAAGAGTATTATTTATTTAGTTTTGTTTCGAACTGATAGGCACCGTAAGCTATGAGAAACTCTTAAGAATTTTTTTTTGGAATCAACATGAT